TAGGTAAGATGATTTCTGAATTTGTTTTTAAGGCAAAGGAGCAGGATAGCTAAAGTGATTTTGACTTAGAAAGTTGGAGGACTCATTACCAGATTTCAAGACATAAATAAGCTGCAGTCATCAAGACTGTGTGGTATTGGGGGATATTTCAATGGATACAGAACCTAGAAAATGGTGTTGCACCGAAGAGGATATGGGAACAGAACATCAGTATGAGGAAAGATGTTCCTCCTTTGCAAGAGGCAGAGTGGCTGTCCCATAGCCACTTCAGACTCACCACCTGTGTCTTCTCCCCTTCTCCCAAAGCTGTCTACTTTCTTAATTCCTGTTTCATGTTGAGGGCCGGCCTCCCTGAGCAAGGCAGTCAGCCTGAGCTGCTCTTTGAGGTCTTGGATCCAGAGCTCCACATTCGGCTCCCAAGTCCAGGTGATACTCTTTTCTAGACTTCTGAAGATTTCATGCATTTGCCTCTTCCTTTCTGTCTTGATGCCTGCTGCCACATCATCCTTCACTTAGACTTTAATACCAGCTCTCTCCCCTACATTTGACCCCCACCACTCTGTCCTTAGAACAATGCCTCAGTTGACTCTGTTACCTGGATGGGGCCCATCCAGAATGAAGCCAGGACTCCTGAGCCTGGCTCTGTATGCCCTCTTGGTGAACAGGAGACTCTCTGCTTTACGGTGCTCCCCTAATGGGACCTAGAGAGCTCCTCGCCCACTCCTCCCTCTCCAGCCCCTTCTCCTGAGTTCCATTCACAGGCATTTGTCTTTGCTCCCAGACCCATGTGCGAGCCAAGAACATACAGCTCCCTCTTCCTGGAGCACTTCTCTTGTGGAAACCACTAGTAAATTCATATTCTTCAAGTCACAGGTCAGATGCCACCACTCCTGGAAGCAGCCCCTGCCCCCCTCTCTGCGGTTTCCTGTGACTGCACCTCGCAGACCCTGCATTAGTGCCTCTCAGTAGTGTGATCTCTTGCAGTCTCTCTCCCCATTATGCTGTGGGGTTCTTTAGGAAAGGCGCCCTCACCCTCTTTGTATTTGGGGCACTTTGTGCATTGTCTTATCATTTTTTGCAGTATCCATGCAACATATGAGGTGTATTCCATATTTTACAGGTGAATAAACTGAGGCTTGGAGAGCTTAAATCAACTCTTATGAAGTTCTGAGGCCTGTAGGTTACGGCAGGATTTGGACCCAAGGGTTATCTACTCCCAAGCTCAATGGGTAGTGATGCCTTTTCATGAGAATACACAAATCCTCAGTTAACTTGATATTTATGGGAATGTGGGAATCACTGCCTGAAGAACTGTAGCTCCTGCTGCACACGGGCAGCTCTCCAGAGCCCTGTGCTGGGCTACGAGGAGCGACTGTAGGCCGGGCTGTGCAGAGCCTTGTCTCCATCTTAGGAGTGGATGCTTAGATTTGTAAGCAGTGGCAAGGCACGGGTGGTCACTAAAAGCAGTGCACTAGAATGAGGAGGTGTTTGTCTTCGGAAATAGCATTGCTGGGAAGATAGGTTAAGGAATGTTGGAGCTGAGCTCAGGAAGCCACGGAAGAGGCTGCAATCAGGACGCGTGGTGAGAGGGCAGTGCGAAGGCGCTTCAGGAGGGGCGCACTCCGTGTCTGAGGTGGGATTAAGAGGATGAGAACGTTTGGGAGGTGGTTGAATCCAGAAAGTGAGGAAAGGATAGTGGTGGTGATGGTGGCTGCGGAAGTGCAGCTCCCATTTATCCAGGACTGATTGGGTCAGGCGTGTCACCTGGGTGCCCTCATGTCATCCTTGGACCACCCTGCAGTGCTTGCACAGTGAGGAGGCTGAGTGGGAGGTCTTGCCCTTCTCGGGGAAGGTGCCCGTCGGGAGAGGCCAGAGGGGCCAGACAGGCCCCTTTCGGATGTCTCAGCGGGTGCTGAGGGACAGAGAGGCGTAGGCTGTTGAGGGAGAGCGAGGTTGGGCTGTGGGTTGCGGTGAGGACACAAACCTGTTTGTGAGGACACTGAGACTTGAGCCAGGGGCTGGGGGGCCGTGGACAACAGCACCTCACGTCCCAGTGGAACTTCTGCACTTGCAGCTGACTCCACACCCAGAGCCTGTCACAGCCACCCAACAAACATGCCGAGCGAGGACTGGATGGAAAATGAAATGCTATTTCTTTTTTTAGGGTTCTTTGCATACTTGCATAAAGTCGTTTAAAATCCTAAAGAAATAATTGTTCATTCTTGGTAAGAGCTATACAGGTATTCATTATAATATTCTTTTAACTTTATGTATACAATTTTTCGTAATAAAAAAGTTGGATTTTAAAAAGTGGCATTAATTATAGTCCTGTTTACAAATTGCATAGGATTTATGCCTCATTACGATCCCCCACCCTAAATTATCATGCTTCACACTCAGTGTAAGAAAAAAAAGTCTAAAGGAAATACTTTTGTTATCTCAATCTGCTAAATAACATGTTTTTAATTTAGCACATTTGTTAAATAACTTTTCAGAGAGCTGCTTACTTAGGCACACATAATAGAGGTAAACTTTATAGTTACCCTAATATGAATTAATGGAAGGTTTCATTATCTTTTAACTGTTGGCAATGATATAACTATCATTTTTCATCTCACATTTTTGCTATTTAAAGCACTCATAGGCCAGGTGTGGTGACTCACGCCTGTTATCCCAGCAGTTTGGGAGGCCAAGGCGGACAGATCACCTGAGGTCAGGAGTTCCAGACCAGCCTGGCCAACATGGTGAAACCCCGGCTCTACTAAAAATACAAAATTTAGCCGGGCGTGGTGGCACGCATCTGTAATCCCAGCTACTGGGGAAACTGAGGCAGGAGAGTCACTTGAACCCCAGGAGGCAGAGGTACAGTGAGCCGAGATCATGCCACTGCATTCCAGCCTGGGCAACAAAGTGAGACTCTGTCTCAGAAAACAAACAAACAAAAATATAAAACACTTGTAGAACTTCATTATGTTATTCGGAGACCAAATTGCTGCTAACTGCATTATTTAATATAGCCTAGTATTTTAATTATACTTATTTAACAAGGGTAGCATGACAAAATAAAAAGGTTTAAACTATCTCTCATATAATTTTGATGATTTTGTTTCCACTTAGATTTATGAAACTTGGAGACATTTTTTCAAGGTACACAGAGCACAGCCAGTTTAAAGGTGCTTCATAAAACGTTGTGGAAGGCAAAATCTATAAAACTGACAGGTATCTCAGGTAGATAGTTAGCTGCTATTTGGAATTTCTAAAACTTTATTATATCTCTCTTAAGAGAATTTATCAAAACAATCTCTAAAATAGTAATTGTAAGCTGTATTTTCCTTCTCTTTTAAAGTAAGTGCTGTGTCCTGATGGAAGGCTCTGAGCCAGGTGACCTATTGTACTGTGATCCTAACTGATGTCTTGGGATTAACTCTGTGCTCTAATCCTCATGCCATTTAGAGGGTACCATAGACATGAAAATGGTTTGGGTTATATTCCAGTACCACGCATGCCAAAGAACATAAAAATGAGTGAATATTTTTATGGATGTTTTGCAACCATGTGAAAAGTCCAACTTTTATTGAAATCGGTTGGCTGTGTCATTGTTCATACTCAGATTTATAACGTCGTCAGTATCCATGGATAACCCTTCTTGGATGTGCTGTGAAATAAGTACAGAACCCCCCGCCCTGCTCCCGGGACAAGGGACAAGGTGAAAGCACCACATTGCAGCATGTTGTGAAATAAATGCAGAATCCACCCCTCCCCCGGACAAGGGACAAGGTGAAAAGCACCACGCAGCATCACAGCACATTGTGATCTCAGTGCAGTTACCACCTCTGCCCCCCTGTGGGGCAAGGGAAGCACCACCCATGGCAGCTCGCTACATACATATCCAGAGGGTATTTGAGCTTCCCTGTGCTACTTTGCTTCTATAAAGCCAAATAAATAAAACATGCATATGTAATATGTGTATTTTTAGGTTAAGTGAGATCTCTTTGTCACCTAATACAAGGCCCAACTTTTCTGGCAGTCCTCCTGAGTAAGCACTGTGGTCCTTCCGCCTTGGTCCACTGAGGAGCAGGCATTGGGGAGGCACATTCAGATAACCCAGAATTTGGAAAATACTAAAGAAAAGCCGTCCTCTGTTTCACAGACCTCCTGTCTGTCATTCCAAGGGATGCACATACATGCTAAGGATTAAACACATCTGAAATATCTGTTTCTGTTCAGCTAAAAAGACCTAATTTTTTGAAATAGGTTTTTTAAAAAAATTAATGGACACCCTCATTTGGGGCACGTTGATGTCTTTTTCAGGCAGTGTTCTATATTGTAATTATAAAGGTGGTGACTCAGTTTTCTAGTTTTATGTCTGCCTCTTTCAGAACAAAAGTTGCATTTGTTCCAAATAACAGCTCTGAGCTGAAAGGCAATGACTGGACTTTCTTCATATAACTGGAGCCCTTCCCATTATTAAACGTTGTTAGAGGCTGGGTGCGCAGTGGCCCACGTCTGTAATCACAATACTTTGGGAGGCCAAGACAGAAGGATCGCTTGAGACCAGGCTGGGCAACGTAGGGAGTCCCTGCCTCTACAAAAAACAAAAACATTAGCTGGGTGTGGTGTCGTGCACCTGTAGTCCCAGCTATTCGGGAGGCTGAGGCAGGAGGATCAGTTGAGCCCAGGAGGTGGAGGCTGCAGTGAGCTGTGGTAATGCCACTGCACTCCAGCCTGGACAACACAGTGAGACCCAGTCTCAAAAAAAAAAAAAAAAAAAACCCACAAAAATGTTATAAGAGTACCTTGACATGCTAGGGAGAAAATATCTTGTTCTTCCTGTTAAAATGAAAATAGTAGCAAGTAACAATCTTAATGCTACTTTGTATTACACGGTCGGGCACCCCAGCTGCTTCAGCACATGGGTGTGCAGTGTGTGTGGTAGGAAAGCTGGGCCTTCCCCCAGGCCTCCTGCATTAATGTGTTTGCTGTTGTCCCCTTTATCCTAGGAACCCTCACCCAGAATGAAATGGTATTTAAGCGGCTCCACCTGGGCACCGTGTCCTATGGAGCCGACACAATGGATGAGATCCAGAGCCATGTCAGGGACTCCTACTCACAGGTAAGTGGGTTCCTCCTGTATGGGATCTGCTTCCACACACATCCCGTGCCATGAGTCCACCGAGCCTCGTGTGTTCCCATCTGTAAATTAGCACACTTCTCGGTGGTCTTAACATCCTCCTACTTCAGTCGTCCGTTCCAATATATGAATCAGGAAATCGTCTTTGATGAGCATTTCTACATGAGTGAAATCGTAGAAGGCATAGTGTGCTTAAGTCATTTATTCAGATTACATTTTACTAGTGAGTTATTTGTAAAAAGTTATTCAGTAAACATTGTATTTGAAGAATATTCAGTAGGATACTACATCAATATGTTTTCTAACAGTCCTGTTTTTCTCTATAATAAAACATTCTCATATTTTTAAAGGTAAATTCTTTTTTTGCCTTTTCAGTGGACAAAAGTAGATACCGTAGTGTTAGGAACCTCATATCTGTCACTCACCTTCCTGTCATCAGTGCCCAGGTGGTGATGTTTCATCTGTAGGTGTTCTTCATTATTACTATATTATGACATGAAGCTCAAATACCACGTTCTTTCACCTGTAAATATTTATTATGTGCCCCTAATAGACAAGGACTCTGCCTTTCACTGGGGCCAAAGCTCTCTGAAGTTCTGAGAACAGGAATTAGAGGTTGAGTATCCCTTATTTAAAATGCTTAGAACCGGAAGTGTTTTGGATTCTGGATTTTTTTCAGATTTGGAATATTTGCATTATCCTTACTGGTTGAATACCTCTAATCCCTTATCTGAACATCCCTTTGAGCATCAATGGCGTTCAAAAAGCTTTGAGTTTTGGAACATTTCTGATTTTAGATTTTTGGATCCGGGATACTCAGCCTGTATTTGCTTTTAAAGCAGGATTTAGCCTAGAGGCTGTAGCACTTGCCGGAGATTTTATAGGCAGTGGGTTGTGCACAGAGTCTGTCCAGGGCCCCGAGTCATCCTAACAGCTGCGTTCCGGCAGTAGGCACCTCAGAGCCACCACGTGGAGCACAGCCCTGGCCCCGAGGAGTGTTTCCTTGTCATTCATTTGCATTCTTCTTTTTGTGCCTGTCATAATTAGAAGTCACTGATTCAGTGTCATCAAACCTGGAGATCTGAGAGAATCAATTTAAGAGACTAGGTTAAAAGAGACAAGGCTGCAGTGTGCGTCAGGAATTTACACCTCCTGAGGTCCTTTTTCTGCTTGTTTGTTGATTTATTTTGAATACAGTAATACACATAATAACGAGCTAAGGCCTATCAGGTTCAAAAGTGTACACAGCTCGCTTTGGGGGGTGACAGTTCCCGGCGTTGCACGGCACTGCTGCCCAGACTTGCAGAAAAGTGTACACAGCTCGCCTTGGGGGTGTGTTCCCAGCGTTGCACGGCACTGCTGCCCACAGCTCGCCTTGGGCGTTGCATGGCACTGCTGCCCGGACTTGCAGAGGCCACTCAGCGATGTCAGCTGTGGAGTCTAGGAGACTTTTTGAAACAAACAGTAATTTGTTTCAAACTTGATTTTTGCAGAGACTAGACTAAATGACACTTTCCCATTGCAGCGTTTCTACTCTTGACAACTCCAGAGTAGCATTCAGTGGTCAGCATTGTATTCAGGTTTTTGAAAACCTTCTCTTTCTTGTATACTTGCTACCAGTCTGGCATAAGCTTTACTGTTGGCATGCTGTCAAATGGAAGAAGTCTCATATGTGTATATATTTAGCATATGAAATGTTTATCCACACACATAAGCAAACAAACATATGTATACACAGCCAAACACATTATTATTTTGGATGTAATTCATTTAGATACAGAATATTTATAACCTAGGATATTTGTTAATAGAAGAAAAATCTTAAAAGGAGAAGGAGTGCAGTTTCTCCCAGGAATCTGTTTCTACATTGAAATAGTACCAGATGAGATCTGCTTTTTAAAAATTATTATCTGTGAATGTAATTTTAATAGTTTCAAATAAGTTATTAGGAAAAATTAAAAGCAGAAAAGATGAAGCATCATTATATAAACACAGTAAATATTGTGCTTCCACCTAAGAGAACTTTTAAAAATCATTTTTGCTGAAAGCTTCTGTTAGCTGAACAGACAGTACTTCTTATGTGAAATTGGTCTGATTCTCTATTGGTATTCTGTTTTATTACTAAGACGACAGGAGTCTAGTAGGTCCACTGCCATGCAACACAAATCTTTTATAACCTGATTATATTTCCCCACTGGAGGCATTTGGTGATAGAGGGCATAATCTTTCATGGAATTTGTGTGAAATTAAATTGTACAGGCATCAGCGAACATCACGTAGTTTGGAAGGAGGAGCCAGCTGAGTTTGCTGTCCCGCAGCAGCGTGAGCAGGCGCAGATGGGCTGGGTCCTCGCTGAAAGGCAGCACCAGCTGAGCAGAAAGTTAAACCCTTCATTCGGCACCACTGTAATTTGATGGGCAGGAGATTCACAGTTCATTGGATCTGTGCACTCCGTCCAAACGTGAGAGTCTTGGTTTCTAAGGAAGATTGTCATGAGTTACTCCGAAGTTAACTGAAGAAACGTTTGACGTCCTGTTCGGGTCAGGGGGAGTGTCCTCTGACAACCACCACATAGGAGGTGAATAATAAAATGTTATCACTTCGGTGGTGCCGTGAAACCTCTTAAACATGGCTGAGGCTGAGGAGAGCCAGGCACAGACATAAGCCCTAAATGAGGACTTGCTTTGAGAGAGCAGGATTCCGAGATAAGACACGGGGTCGTTTTTCCTCTGAATGCAACTTAGGATTGTATTTGGTTGTTATTATCCACAAAACTGGACTGTCTAAACTGAGACTACTGAAAGCAGGATTAATTTATGGTATTAAGGGAAGATTCTTAAAAATATTGTCCTGCTTTTAGCTTTATACAATTTTATGTACAACACTATTTAAAGAAAGCTGAAAGCAGTTGTAAATATACCATTTCATTTTGTTCTTTAACTGACTCTGCTTTTAGAAGTCATGAATAAATAGGGGTTAATGACGTAGCAAATCATTGCTGTTGTTGAAATGAATACAGTAAAAACAAATTATCAGATTTTTAAGTAGTATAGTGAATATTTTGGTGTATTTGACAACCTGGATGTATCAAAGCGCTTCATAGTACTAGGCTTAAAAATATAACTCATTAATCAGTGCTTTCTAGGAGATAATCAGAATCAAATGAGGCTACTTATTTCTAGCTACTTCACTTATAAAAATCATATATGTTAATAATTCCATGTTACCTAGATCTCTTTGCTCTATCTTTAATTACGTGATGTTTCATATTCTAAAGATGCAGTCTCAAGCTGGTGGAAACAATACTGGTTCAACTCCACCAAGAAAAGCCCAATCTTCAGCTCCCAAAGTTAGGAAAAGTGTCAGCAGTCGAATCCATGAAGCCGTGAAAGCCATCGTGCTGTGTCACAACGTGACCCCTGTGTATGAGTCTCGGGCCGGCGTTACTGGGGAGACTGAGTTCGCAGAGGCTGACCAAGACTTCAGTGATGAGAACCGCACCTACCAGGCTTCCAGCCCCGATGAGGTCAGTCAGAGCACAAAACCGTGGGAGCTTGTGCATTCCATTTGGACTCAGAAGTCATGAGGATTCATTCTTTCTGGGGTGGGGAACATAGAGGAGCAGTTTACTGTAGCTTTAATGTATGTTTTAGCTGTGGGTTGAAAACGGCCCAACTCATTCCCGCACGTAGCCTCTGCCGTAGCCTGGGCCTTGCAGGTGCGGACGTGCGGCCAGCACCTCTCGGCACATCCCAGAGCACCCAGGGCTGGTCACAGGGAACAGCATGAGAAATGCCAGCGAGGTTTACTGATTCCGTAAACTAATTTGTGTCAAAGCTGCATGTTACAAAACTGTTGAAGTTTGGAACTGGGATGGCTACATCATCCAGTTTTTTGGATTCCGTGTCCAAATTGAATCATCAGGTTTCCATATTAAATTTACACGTATTTTGCCAGATTTTCGATACAGGGCATTTATTTCAAAAGAAAATCGGAATGTAAATTTCCAAAACCTACAGAAATGGTAAGATCTTAAACATGGTAAATTAGTTATTTCTAACTTTACATCATTCTTTGATTTTTAGATCAGTAAAATCATTATCAAATTTGTTTAATTAATGTCTTAGTATATTTTATATACAGTTTTATATACACTTTGTCCCTTCAAGGTTCTTGAGATAGTTCCGTAAAGTAATCAAGCCAACCACGGAAGCACTGTAAACAAACTAGTATCTTCCGATACTTGGTAAAACTGTGTCATATACATAAATAATTAGCGGTGGGGGTACCTTCAGTGAAAATAAAAAGAGAAAAATCAGATCTAATGGGTTTAAGAGAGGAGTCTGGTGGTTCTGGTTGACGAGTTTATTACAAAAGAGCACCATCGTCCCCCCCATAATGGAATAGAATCTCAGCCGAGAGACAAGACGCAACTTCACACCCACCAGGATAACAGGAATCAGAAAGACAGACCATAGCAAGTGCTGAGAGGACGCAGAGGAATTGGAACCTTCGTGCACTGCGGGTGGGATTGGAACAGGGTGCAGCCACTCTAGAGAACAGTCTGGGTGTTCCTGAAACAATTAAACATGGAATGACCGTATGCCCCACAATTCTACTCCTTGGTGTACACCCGAAAGACATGAGAACCAAGACCCGTATGTTACTGTTCACAGCAGTGTTAGAGCCGAGAAGTGGAGGCAGCCCAAATGTCTATCAGCTATCAATCAATCAATAAAATGGGGTCTGTTCGCACACGTGGAGCATCATCCAGTCACAAATGGCAGGAAGGAGCTGTGTCTGTGATGGCGTTGAAGCACTTTTGAAACCTTTTGCTCAGTGAAAGAAGGCAGGTGCAGAAGGCAACCAGCAGACCTATGTGATTTCATTGCCATGACACGTCCAGAGCAGACAGACCCATGGAGACAGCAGAGCAGCAGGTACCAGGGTCTGAGGAGTGATCCCCGGCACGTAGAAGGTCAGGGATGGAGGAGTGATCCCCGGCAGGTAGAAGGTCAGGGATGGAGGAGTGATCCCCGGCAGGTAGAAGGTCAGGGGAGGAGTGATCCCCGGCAGGCAGAAGGTCAGGGGTGGAGGAGTGATCCCCGGCAGGCAGAAGGTCAGGGGTGGAGGAGTGATCCCCGGCAGGCAGAAGGTCAGGGGAGGAGTGATCCCCGGCAGGTAGAAGGTCAGGGGTGGAGGAGTGATCCCCGGCAGGTAGAAGGTCAGGGGTGGAGTAATCCCTGGCAGGTAGAAGACCAGGGGTGGAGGAGTGATCTCTAGCAGGTACAAGATCAGGGGTTGTGGAGTGATCCCCAGCAGGTAAAAGGTCAAGGGCTGAGGAGTGACCTTCAGCAAGTAGAAGGTTTCTCTTAGGGGGATGAAAATGTTTTAAAATAGATTATCATGTTGGTTACACAACTCTGTGAATATGCTAAAATCAATTAAATTGTACATTTTAAATGGGTGAATAGTGTCTCCATAAAGCTATTTAAACAAAAGAAGATGCAGAGTGAGTGTAGGTTCCATGACTATTGAACGAGTAGAAAATTAAGATTCTAAACAAAGACAAAGCAAATTCATAGGTTAAAAAACTAAAATTTGTATCTTAGAAAGTGTTAGGATACTCGTTCAATTTCTGAATGTATGGATATGAAAGGTGCTCAATTCTAATTCCACCGACAGTGGAAATATGAGCCTAAAACCCCTCTATTGCTGATCAGCAGGCGGGCCAGACAGACAGGGAGGCACGTGGAGAAGAGACAGGAAGAAGAGTAGAGGGGCGTGAGAGAGCCTCTTTCTCTGGTGATAATACATCTTGCAGCAGAGACTCAAGTCCTTGCCGTGGAAAGGTGAGAGTAGGGACAGACTGTGGCCACCATGAGGAAGCAGAGCTGGCGTGTGCACCTGATCATGCATAGTACGGCGTTTCCAGCGCTGGGAAGGGCATCGTAATTTTGCTGATTAAAATTAAGTAAGAAGTCAGAATATACAACTATGAGTTTAGAATGTTTGGAAAATTGCCTTATGAGTAATAACTAGAACCGATTTGTAGCCCAAAGAAGACAGAACAGAATAAATGTGTGTTGATAATTGAGGAGGAGCTATGCTGTCTGCAGAGCTGACCAAAGGTGGCAAGTGACTTTTACTTTAAAATTGCCTCAAAGCAGGAGTCTCTTGTCTAGGCTTCTAGAAGCAGAAGAATTCTACCACTTTATGGCTTAGGAAACAACCAGTAATGTCATTCATCTTTTTTCCATGAGCGTTCGCTGTGACCGTGTCCTGATGAGGCAGAGGCTTCCAGGATCATGGGACTAGATCTCATGTCCTGAAGGCACTTCTCATGTCTGTGTGCAGATGTGGGAACCACTTTCCTGAGAAGGAAGGATATACACATAAGCAAGGGTTTTTAAACTTGTCTGTACATCAGGTAGACGTCTAGGGGTTTCCTTCTTTTTTAAAATACTTAACTTTTTATGTATGTACACTAGCACCCCTATTACAGAAATGCTGGACCGGGAACTGGGCGTGGTGGCTTATGCCTGTCATCCCAGCACTTTGGGAGGCCGAGGCAAGTGGATCACCTGAGGTCAGAAGTTTGAGGCCAGCCTGGCCAACATGGCGAAACCCCGTCACTACCAAAAATACAAAAAATTAGCCGGGTGTGGTGGCAGGCTCCTGTAATCCCAGCTACTTGGAAGGCTGGGACAGGAGAATTGCTTGAACCCAGAAGGCTGAGGTTGCAGTGAGCCAAAATCACGCCACTACACTCAAGCCTGGGTGACAGAACAAGACTCAGTCTCAAAATATATATATATAAATAAAATAAAAAACAAAAAGAAATGCTGGGCTGGGGCTGGACATTTCTCCATTTTGAAAATCTAAAAGGTTGCACCCCACAATTGAGAACCATTGCATTTTATAAATCTTTCCCTTTGACTTACTTTTAGGACTTGAGGTGAAATGATCCATATTCTCAACTTCCCACGTTTAAAACACTTTCATCGTTTTGGCTACTTTTTCACCATCCTTTAGGTTCTTACATGGCTAATGACATGTCATAATTACTAAATTGGTATAGTTTGGTTAGAGTAAGTTAGTATCTTGACTAAACAACAAAAAGAAAAATGCCTATGTATCTAAAGTTTGATAAACTAGGGTGAATGTGAGGTTGTGAGGCCCTCCTCCACTAATGTTTTAAATTTTCTGTACACTTTTTGTGGTGGTGACTCTTAGTGGGCTCAGCTGAAGCTGTCTGGGGGACAGATATAAACATCCCCTGATACAGTGACCTCAGGAAGAAGAAAGCCTAAATGTGCCAGCAGATTTATGGTATTTGACAAAGTATAAGCCACGGCTAGACTTTTCGGAAAACAAGCTTACTTATTTAAAGCTTTAGTTACATAGGCATTTTTCTTTTTGTTGTTTAGTCAAGATACTAACTTACTCTAAACAAACTAGACCAATTTAGTAATTATGACACATCATTAGCCATGTAAGAACCTAAAGGATGGTGAAAAAGTAGCCAAAACGATGAAAGTGGTTTTTATAAACATGGGAAGTTGAGAATATGGATCACTTATCTCCCCTCAGATTCCGCAGATCGCAGGTTGGCTTTCCATCTTTCTCCACACTTCCTGTCTCTAGATAAGTGTCAGTGATGCCGCTGTGATGGCACGGCCCTGCATCATAGCCAGTACACGTTCCTCTGTCACCACGCGGTCACCGTCACCAGAGCTTCTGTGTTTCATCAAGCCTTTCGTGAGAATCTCCGTGCCCGGTGTGACCGGGCACACTTACACGCAGCCGTGCAGCCTTCCCTCGTGTCAGGCTTTTGCTGTCAAACACGTAATGCCTTCTGTTCCCAAGACCTCTCTGAGTAGTTCCGTGTGCCTGCCACCTTCCCTCCAGTGATCCCCATGCACAGTGTTCAGACCGGTCTGCTCACACGCCTTCACAAGGTGCTGGGCTTGGCTTCCCTGCTTGGATTCGACCACTGCCCCATGCAGATGATCTTCCGGACACATCAGTAATTGGTGATGGTGGGTACATGTGGATTGAGTGGTGCCTTCTGTGGACTGACATAAAGGGATCATTTAGTTTTTCCCGAATGCAGTTATATTACTACTTGAAATTTCTGTAGTCACTCCATTACTTTTATAATTATTCAAAGCATTTTGTTCAATAAAGCTGTGCCAAGCTTGTGTGCAGCTGCGTCCCAGCACTTGCCTGTTTGCTCCTTCTGTGCTCGTCCCTAGCTTGACATCCCTTGGCTGCCCTCACCCCCGGCCGGGGGTCCCCAGCTGCCCATTGGCTCGCAGGATTCCCATGTGTCTTCTGGGTGGGTATCTCTCTCCGTGTGTATTGCAGGTTTTGAGCAGCAGGCTTTATCTTCTTACGCCACATCTGCCGCCTTTTCAGGGGCTCACGAGCGTCGCCTGCTGAGCGAACCTTGACGGTGTGGAAAGATGGTGTGGGGAGCTCCTGGTCAAGGTGGAGGAGGGGAATAAAACACATCTGTAGGAA